ATATCTGATCAACTAGGCTGTGATACACACGTCAGGCTGCGAGGAGTCACGTCCAACAGCCTGGCTGACCAGACCCCCACCCAGGAGACCGGGCCACAAGGACATTGACCCTCCGGAATCAAGGCAAGGTGAGCCAGAGGTGTCCCCGCTGCCAATGGGTCAGGTCACCGACACCACCAAGAACTCCACTCGCGTCAGCCGCTGTGTACTAAGTATGTCTGCTGGATTCTTACTGGATTAGGCGCGCATATGCTGAGAAAGGTCGCAGGCAGCCAAGCCAAGAGTGGATGTACTAGGCCTCACCCAGAGTGGATGTACTAGGCCTTACCCAGAGTGGATGTACTAGGCCTCACCCAGAGTGGATGTACTAGGCCTCACCCAGAGTGGATGTACTAGGCCTCACCCAGAGTGGATGTACTAGGCCTCACCCAGAGTGGATGTACTAGGCCTCACCCAGAGTGGATGTACTAGGCCTTACCCAGAGTGGATGTACTAGGCCTTACCCTCAGCCTAGGAGTCCTGGTAGTAAGACGTGACCATAGTAGCCGACTCGTCCAAGTTAAGCGAGTGTTTACTCCTGATACCTGTAGAGTTACTCGCGTCCTTGAGTGCAAGTTACTGTCGCACTCGCCCTGGGAACAGTGTGGCGAGTATTGCCTTCACTCAAGGTGGTGAAAGTGTGAAACTTGCCGTGTAAAGAGAAGCATTAGGGTGATGGATAGTATGATAACTCTACACCAGTACACTCTACCTCTCTACTCATCACTCCTTACCTCATCATTTCTTCCTCACACACACACACACACAGCAATCTAGGAAAGAAAATCCTGTGTAAGAAATCTAGCTAGTTTTGTGAGACCCGCAGAGATTCTACAGGAAAGAGATAGTTGGGTTGACTGTCTATCTGGCTTTTGACAGAGTTCCACGCAAGAGTGTGGGGGACTGCGGCAGGTGTGGGAGTGAGTGTGGGGGCTGGGGCAGGTGTGGGAGTGAGTGTGGGGGGGCTGGGGCAGGTGTGGGGTACAGGAGTGTGGGCTGTCAGCCAAGTTCCTTCTAACAGCTGGTGGAGTAGCACACGTGTGTTTGGATAGGGATATATGCATAGGGGTGGGGGGTGGGGATGGGGGAGGGGATTGGTAGGTGTGTGTGGGTGTGGGGGGGGGGGCTGCAGGCACGGGCTAGGTCCCCAGGTTAATGTCATGACTCACAAACTATGGTTTGTCTTTATGTCTTGTTGTGTTGAGAGACTCATCAGTATGAAGAGCAGCTCCAGAGCTCTCAAGGCTGTGGTGCCATCACTCTGGCTGTGGTGCCATCACTCTGGCAGTGGTGCCATCACTCTGGCAGTGGTGCCATCACTCTGGCTGTGGTGCCATCACTCTGGCAGTGGTGCCATCACTCTGGCAGTGGTGCCATCACTCTGAGTGTGGTGCCATCACTCTGGCAGTGGTGCCATCACTCTGGCTGTGGTGCCATCACTCTGGCAGTGGTGCCATCACTCTGGCAGTGGTGCCATCACTCTGGCAGTGGTGCCATCACTGAGTGTGGTGCCATCACTCTGGCAGTGGTGCCATCACTCTGGCTGTGGTGACATCACTCTGGCTGTGGTGCCATCACTCTGGCTGTGGTGCCATCACTCTGGCAGTGGTGCCATCACTCTGGCTACTCGTACTGCTCCTCTGCCACTCTCCTAATCAATGTGTACTCCTCCTCCTTCCAGTTGCATACATCGTGATTTCCTCCTGCGCTGTGCTCTCAATATTTCTTCAGTGTTCATTTGGTCCTTCTCTTTGCCTGCAGACACTGTCTCTTGAACCCTATGGTAATGCTCGTCTTGCTTCCCGTAACTCTTAGTGGTAGTATAAATCTTTCTTCGACTTTTTTGTCCATCATATCCTGTGTGTTGACTTTTCTGACCTCTCTTCTCCATTGTATCCCTTCTCCCCAGGGATTTTCTGACCTGGTAATTCCCTTTTCCAATAAGGTAACCGTACACTCTCCCGCTCCTTATCTCTTCTTATGCTCTTCATTCTCGCTATGCCTTCCTAGACTAAAACAGTGGTCGTTGTTTATGTGGCATTTATGCTCAGTGTTTTCTGTGCCCAGCACATACAATCTATGCTACACAACTGACTCCACAAAGCTGTGCTACACAACTGACTCCACAAAGCTGTGCTACACAACTGACTCCACAAAGCTGTGCTACACAACTGACTCCACAAAGCTGTGCTACACTCAAAGCGACCTTGCAACTGCAGCTCGCAATCTCATTTTAGCTCTGAGAGTGTGTATCTGGATCTGGTCCCTTGCCAGTAACTTATATATACGGGTTCCAGTATGACGCAGTCGCTGTAATTTGCTATGTCTTCTACTGTCTCGCTATCCCCTAGTCTCTCGTACTCACTATTTCCCTATTGGACACACTCACTAGTTCCCTGTCTATTGGACCCACTCACTAGTTCCCTGTCTATTGGACCCACTCACTAGTTCCCTCTCTATTGGACCCACTCACTAGTTCCCTGTCCATTGGACCCACTCACTAGTTCCCTCTCTATTGGACCCACTCACTAGTTCCCTGTCTATGGGACCCACTTGTTAGTTCCCTGTTTATTGGACCCACTTACTAGTTCCCTGTCTATGGGACCCACTTGCTAGTTCCTTGTCTATTGGACCCACTCACTAGTTCCCTGTCTATTGGACCCACTCACTAGTTCCCTGTCTATTGGACCCACTCACTAGTTCCGTCTATGGGACCCACTTGCTAGTTCCTTGTCTATTGGACCCACTCACTAGTTCCCTGTCTATTGAACCCACTTGTCTATCACTAGTCAAACCTGGCCTCGGGCTGGGCTTGGGGAGTAGTACTCCTCGAACCCTTTTCAAGTACAATCCAGGTACATGATACATAAAATATTATATATATATATATATATATATATATATATATATATATATATATATATATATATATATATATATATATATATGTCGTACCTAATAGCCAGAACGCACTTCTCAGCCTACTATTCAAGGCCCGATTTGCCTAATAAGCCAAGTTTTCATGAATTAATGTTTTTTCGTCTACCTAACCTACCTAACCTAACCTAACCTAGCTTTTTTGGCTACCTAACCTAACCTTACCTATAAATATAGGTTAGGTTAGGTTAGGTAGGGTTGGTTAGGTTCGGTCATATATCTACGTTAATTTTAACTCCAATAAAAAAAAATTGACCTCATACATAGAGAAAAGGGTTGCTTTATCATTTCATAAGAAAAAAATTATAGTAAATATATTAATTCAGGAAAACTTGGCTTATTAGGCAAATCGGGCCTTGAATAGTAGGCTGAGAAGTGAGTTCTGGCTACTAGGTACGACATATATATATATATATATATAACTTTAGAACACTTTCCCACCAGGAGACTCGAACCCTAGCCAGCACAGAATATATATATATATATATATATATATATATATATATATATATATATATATATATATATATATATATATATTATATATATATATATGTTTTCAGGTAAAAGTTCATACACAGAAGATGAGTTACAAACGTAATGTTGGATTTATAGAGCTAGTACATACAATACCTAAAGCCATTAATACGCAGAGCATTTCGAGCAAGACCCCAGTTAAACCTTAAAGAAAGGGGTATTCATGTAAAAAATCTCGGAAATAATAATAATATCCAAAGAGCTAACATTTAGAGCACACGACGAAGCAAGTTATAGTGTGGATAATGAGAATCTTCAAAACAAGGAGGTGCCACACCAGTGATAGTATTCTTCAAAGCACTGGTGCTATATTATGTGGAATATTGCTCAGTCCTTATGGCCCCTTTCAAGGCAGGTGAGATAGCAGAGCTAATAAAATATAGAGAAATCCTTTACTGTGCGCATAGAATCTGTGACTCAAGTGGAGTTTAATTCATAGAGTTCCCCCAAACACCTTGGTGCACACATACAGTATATTCATAAGGGACAAAAAGAAAATGCCAGCAGACTTCAGGGAAGGAAACCCTAGCCATGGTTTATAATTCCATTCATAACTATAAATTAAACTCCACTTGAGTCACTGTTTCAATGCGCAAAGTAAAGTGTTTCTGTATATTTTATTAGCTCTGCTATCTCACCTGGCTTGTCAGGGCGCCTGACAGCTGAGTAGACAGCGCTTCGGATTCGTAGTCCTGAGGTTCCGGGTTTGATCCATGGTGGATGTGGAGACAAATGGGCAAAGTGTTTCTTTCACCCTGATGCCCCTGTTACCTAGCAATAAATAGGTACCTGGGAGTTAGACAGCTGCTATGGGCTGCTTCCCGGGGTGTGTGTAACAAACAGGAGACCTGATCGAGGACTGGGCCGCGGGGACGCTACGTCCCGAAATCATCTCAAGATAACCTAAAGAAGAAGATGGTTAGAGAGAAATGTAATGTGGGTAGCAGAAACACAATTGTGAAATGTAAAGTAGGATAAAGCAATAGCCCCAATGAAATAGAGGCTCCATCTACAGAGAAACTGTATAAGTGTAGCCTAGCAGTGGGAATCCTGTCACAGTATACAAATGAATGAGACGGTATTCCAACTGGGATTATGGGTGACTTGGGTTACCACCTGGTAGCAGTTAAGGGCATTATAATTAGGATGGTTCCCCCCTGCAGCAGTGAACATTTGCAATGGTTACTATGGAATTACTTTCATTCATGTATTAACTTGTTTTTCTGCACCCATGGTTGTAGTGGGTTTTGATTTTGTAGATCCTGGTTTTGAGGTGCTCTCTGATCCCCAAGCTTCCCTACACTTCATAGAGCGAACCACATTCTGGTCCTGGTTTCTGGTATGCAACAGATGGGTCTCATGGGCATTGTGTGATGGCCTAATGTTTAGTTACCTATGTGTATAAAACTAGGAGAATTACTGAAGGGGGCCCCCCCCTTCCTAGAAAAAATATCCAAGGCCTAAAACTATCTTTTTGATACTTGCAGATGTATTCCTGAAGAAGTTTGAGACGATAAACGAGAAGTGGCCATGAGTGGCCACGAGCATCGAAAGCTGATCAAATGCAGCAGCACCAGCATTATCCAGCCCCAGCCCTGATGACCTGAGTCCGGACACATTCCACCTAGGGCTGTTGTTCCCCCTCCTGCTACACCTCCACAACACACGACACCTTCCCTTGTCCAACTGCACTCTCCATCTAGCCCTGGAGGAATCCTCACACTTCAAAGCCCTACATACTTCCTTGAAGAATACCAACACCATTAATAAGACTTAGCCCATATATATACAGTATATATATATATATATGTATATATATGTATATATGAATATATATATAAATATATATATATATTTATATATATATACATATAAATATATACATATATAGACAGTACATACATTATTTTGTACCTTTTAACTAGACACTTAGGTATTTAGTTGGTGTGGTCAAACATTCCAAGATTGTTGGCAAGCTGGAGGAAAAAGGAAAGATGTCGTGCATCAACAAGAACCTCGTCCTACTCAAACTTCTTCTCTTCACCTTTTATGGGGGTGAGGCTGTCTGTTTATTGTAGTTTTCATTTGAAAATATGGATAAACCTTTCTATTTACCTATGGGTATAATTTGTACACACACACACACTATTCAAGTCTATTTTGAAGTGTGTTTTGCAGTATGCAGGTATAAAAATTATTAATTTATATTATAGTCACAGGACATTTAGGGCCATGGTTCATCAAGCATTTACATAACCACTTATGAAACCTGTACATGTTAATCATGGTAGTATTGTTTACATTTATTAAAGTTTACATTCTTCAAACTTCACCATCCAAGGTGATTATTGTTATAAACAACCTCGTAGTGCTTCAAAGCTCATAAACTGTTTAATGAATACTGTATAAAGAAATGTCGTTATTAAGGGAAGATGTACGGGTTTTGTAAGTTGTCGTGTAAATGCTTGGAAATGGGCTAACGAGCTTGTTGTTTTCTTATTTGCAGCTCTTGGTTGCCTGATGCCATTCCTGACAATCCACATGCGATACATTGGGCTGAGCATCCATGAGATCACCTGGATCAACTCTGTCCTGCCTCTCACCTCGCTCTTTGGCCCTCCACTTGTTGGCATGTTGGCCGACCGTTTGGGCCACTACCGACCCATCACCATTGTCTGCATGATCTTTGGTGAGAGCAGCACATTATGTGTGTGAGGGGAATCTATAGCACTGATAATACAGCCCATCCTCCTGTTTAGCTAGTACTTATTGCTAGTACACCATCGTTTAGCTAGTATAATGGTGCACAGTTACAAATGTACTATCTAAACAGGAGGATGGGTTATATAAGTAGTGTTGTCTGCAAAGTCATGGGAAAAGGGTACAGGAAAGTTATCTTGAATTACAGTTGTTTGTTATGGCTTAAGTCTGTTTTAAGAAGGGAATGCACAATTGTTTACCAGCTATACACTCAACCTTTAGCTGCATTTATATTTTCCGCAACAGGGACATGTAGCTTATACATTTTGTGGAGCACCTCTTCCCCACCGTCCCTCTCTGCTCTTTTATAATTTTCTTAATTCTATGAATACCATTAAAGTTTTGAGTAAATATGTTAAATCTGTATTATATTAGAACTCAATTAACTATGTAAAATAACTACAAATTAAATAAGACACCTCATATATTGTGTATTTATAAATGTGCTGAATACTACATATATATATATATATATATATATATATATATATATATATATATATATATATATATATATATATATATATATAACCATCTCAGATTATGTAGTGACATAATGTTAGTGCTAAATATTAATGCAACCTTGATGCTTACAGCTGCACTGATGCATACAGCTCTATTGTTTGTGCCATCGTGTGAGGTGTCACCAGCAGTTGAACCCCCACTGACACTCCGGTGTGACTCCCTCGGGGGTGCTCTGGTGGTAGACTCCTGCGGCCATGATTGTCCACAGCCAGTTGGTTTCCACTCGTCGTCCTTTGTGTGAGACAAGTTTTCTCTGTTTACAGATAGGGGTTAACTTAATCCAATATTTGTATTAAATATGATATTTGAGAGCACAGTAATTAGGATTTATAAATGGAAAATAGGTGTTAATCTTCCTCCTGGTGATATTATTAATATTTAAGTTTTTGACAAGGTACCACATGGAAGATGGCAAGGAAATTACAAGCGCATGAAATAAATGGTAGAATACTAGAGTGGATAAAACGATGGTTAAAACAAAGAAAGCAAAGGGTCTTTCTAAACGGAAATGACTCTGACTGGAGAAATGTTGTGAGTGGTGTATTGGAAGGTTCCATTTTGGGCCATATACATCAATGACATAGATGAGAATATACAAACTAAATCATCAAATTTGCAGATGGTAAAGTGGGAAGTGAAAATAATATTGAGACCTTACAGAGAGATCTACATGAACCCCACAAGTGGTTGGATGACTGACAAATGCTTTTTAATATTGAAAAATGGAAGCTCTTATGTGTGGGCCATAGCAGTGCGCATCACAAGAAGTGCCGAACCAACCAGTCTGTAGTGGACACATGAGCCTGCGGGCTGCTCCGAACAGCAACCTGTTAGACCAAGCTCTCAAAAGTCAAGCTTGGTTCTGAGGCCAGACTTAGGAAGTAGTTCTCCTGGAACCCCATCCAGGTACAATGAAGAACATAATGAGGCATTGACACAGAATTATAGTTACGCTCGTGGCGTCCCGTCTTTCCAGTACAGTACTCCATCATGTGGCACTTTGAAACTACGTACTGACGATTTTGGCCTCCACCACCTCACTTAACTTGTTCCAACCATCTAACACTGTTTGCATGTAATTTTGTGTGCCATCTGCATTGGCACACATTATTGCTGACAACTCATCCTTGCAACTTGCCTTACTCCTCAGAGCTAATGTTTTTCAGACAAACTCCTCCAATACAGACCTGTTCCATCACCATTACATATATGATACTAATATAATTAGAAAAATGTTGCTTAACACTTGGGTGGTGGAATGTGTGCAAGTTGGTGACCTAAATGTTCCGGTCCACCTGAAACATTTAGGGTGCCGCCCGGGGTGCCGCCAGGGGTATATACTGTATATACACTGGTTATCTGTCCCCCAACACAATGAAATATTAATTAATTTTGATTAGTGTATCTTAAGCATCCCACTAAACAATAGTTTCGTTTAGTGTGTGTCTACTTAGTACTGTACAGTATACTATATGTTCCTTGTGTAACACAGGGTTACAGAGTGTCGTAACGTGTGCAGAGAAACCAGTACAAAACCCACCACAACAGATGAAGAGCTGGATGAAGCCGAGAGATTCGTGGTTCGTGGAACACCACCCGTCATGCGTTTCCATGCCTCGGGTAAAAAGGACTACCGAACATTCAATAATGATACGGTCAGTTATTTAATTATTTGAAGAAACTGACATAGGGTAATATTGTGGAAAAAAATAAACGATATTGTATATTGAGAAAATAATAACCTGCTAAAAACATTGATACTGCACTACTAATATTGATATATCTGGGTTACAGATAACACTACAATTCAACAGAACATTAGAACCTGCACGACATAAAAGAGAAGGTGACACGGTGATGTGTTACTACAAGCTGGAAGACTTCAGTACAGATATCAATCAGTACACAGGCCTCACGTGTCAAGCGGCCCCGTACTGTGAGGTTATCTGTAATGCTACTGAACTGGTAAGAAAATTGACACAGTATTTTAATAGATATAATTATTACTAACACAAGTTGTATTCATATATGCTGTCACTTTTATCATTTAAATTTTGCATAATACAAAGTACAAAAGAGTAACAAATATTACATTAATAACAACAACAATAATAATATAATTAGCATCTGCAAATTATATGTGCATAATATGCACAAGTGCTGATGATGATGATGATAGCAGTAATAATTCTAATGGAATTTATTCCTGGCAGCAGTCATCACAAGTAATTATCAAAAAAGGTTCCAAGGTGTGTCTGTGCCCAGCCCATCCTCCTGTTATGGTTGTCCTTACAGGAACGATGAGGACCATAGTATATATACCGATGTACAACAAAATTAGAACGTAGAAATCTGAACTGTCGAGTTGGACAAACCAGAAAACTATTTTTTACTTGTATTACTTTGACAAACTAAACTAACCTATCGTAACCTGCCAAGGCCTAATGCACAATATCTGAGGCCTAATTTAGTGCATGTGCGTGCTATACTAGGCCTAGGAGTATTTAAGTGTTTTTTAGCTTCATTTATTTTAAAAGAATTCCTTATTAGTCAGTATACAGTACTATTATATATAAGCTAAGTACTGTACGTACGAATTTGTGACTATTGACGATCGTCACAATAGGTACTATCTAAACAGGAGGATGGGTTAATAAAAACTATGTATAGTACAAGGTTAAGATATCAGTGAACCCAATGATGGTTACTATGTTCACAGCACGAGACAGACATCCACAGCACACAGCCACGGTTTAGTGCGTCTACACATCATTAAATGGGACCTCATGTTCCTTTAGAAACTAAACTTGTGGAAAGTTATTCATATTTAGGATTTAGTGACCAAGATTCTAATAATATTAAGTGTTGTGAATAGTGTTTGCAATGTACATATTGCAATATTGCACATTGCAAACATATTGGTAAACATTTTGCCATGTTAAGTGCTGTTGACAACTGACTAGTGTGTAGCACTATGCTGTGCTTGGATTATGAGGTTACCACACCCACCAGAAATGCTTATTGGTTTGCAGTGGTGCATAAAATTTTAAATATTCATATATAATAGCATGTTTTATTGTTCAAAGAATATAAAATTGTTCACATATTAGTGACATGAATATACAGTACTTGTGTGCACCTATGTTCTACATGTTTTGTGATACAAATAACATCGACAGCCCAGTGCATCATTGCATTTGAAAAAACCATGGAAAAGCACTAAAAAATACACATAAGATATAATAGGTTCAATGCTTGCAGTTACATCTGTGCAAAACATTTGGAGCTGTAAAATAGGTACCTGGGTGTTAGTGGGTGGGTGGGTGTTACATTTGGAGCAGTAAAATAGGTACCTGGGTGTTAGTCAGCTGTCACTGGCTGCTTCCTGGGGGTGGAGGCCTGGTTGAGGATCGGGCCGCGGGGACACAAAAAAAAAAAAAAAGCCCCGAAATCATCTCAAGATGACCTCAAGAATTGAAGCTCGGCTGAAGTCTGATAACAGGTTACTAGAGTATCTCACCCACTACAACTGCCTAGTAGTTTATAAGGGTGCATAAAAATTTACTTGTATATAAAGTGTGTATACAGTGTAACAGTAGCAAAAACAGTACAAAGTATTTTATTGTTCTACGACTATAATATGTTGCACATCTTAATGACAGAAATATATTTGAAAATTTCATCATTCCACACAAAAAGCCAGAGTAAAAACAAATCGGAGACATTGAAATATACACACTAATCACAATAGCGTGATATATCAAATGAACAAATCCACAAGGGCCGTGATGAGGGTTCGAACTTAAGTCCAGGATGATCCCAGATGTGCCTTAGTCGATTGTGCCACCATGTCTTTTACCATGTTGTGGTACAATCAACTAAGGCACATCGAGGATCATCCTGGACGTAAGTTCGAACCCTCATCACAGCCCTTGTGGGCTGTTCGTGCAAAAATATCGTTGTGGAAACTCCCACCTCACACCTGGTCCGGAGCAACCGCTACTGGGTAATAACTCCATGAATGCATATGATTTGAGATGTCATCACGAGATTTCCTTGCTGCACCATGGCCAAAGTCAGTCAAATAAAATTTTATTTGTATTTTTATTGTGATCAGAGAATCCATTTTAACAATACAGTATTAGAAGGAAAATAATTTTTTCCCAAGCACCAGGGCATTGTCTAGTATAAATAGCACATACCAAGGGTTAAAAATTTAACTACAGGGGTACTTCAGTTTTCATAGTTAATTCATTCCCAGAGACGGAATGAAAACCGAAAAATATGAAAACCAACAAATTTTCCCATAAGAAATAATGTAAATTGAATTAATCCATTCCACATCTCCAAATATATTAACTAAAAATACATTTTATACAGAATAATACTCTTAGGTACCTTACCTTTATTGAGGACTCTTGTTGGCATATGGAAGACGGTGAGGAAGGGGAGAGGAGGAGAGGTGTTAGTGTTTGGAAAGGGAGTCCCCTTCCACTGTAACATCAGTGATGACCTTTTTGGGTTACTCTCTCTCTCTTACGTTTTGCAGGTATACCACTAGCACCGACTTGGTTGTGGCCCTGCTTGTTTTACTAAGAATCTGTCTATAGACACTCTTTTTTCCCTATGTTTTAACACTTGTTTGTAGTGAGACATCGCATTGTCTTGCTATGAATGATCTCTTGTTTTTCCTCTATTGTTATCCTCAACTATTTTCTTAGGTTGAACATTATTACTGACTTCCTTGGAACCCATGGCATGATATGTAATAAGAACTTTTATGTTCAGAAACCAAAAAAAGCACAAAAACAATGAAATTCTTCATAAAGAATTCAAGCGCGATCACTAGGCGAGAGATACATTGTACTAGTGAACTGAAGTGCCACACTTGCGGTGGACCCGTACGTGTATAAACAAACTCCGAAAACCGATGCAAACAACGAGTACCGAATCTAATTTTTCGGAAAATTGAGTATGACTGCCGAAAAATACGAGAACAGGGGCATACGAAAACAGAGGTTCCACTGTAATTATATCTTTGAAACCTTTAATAAATATACAAGGATTTACCCAAAGATGTTGTCAAATTTAGTACATAGTATCTATCGTGCATTAATTTACTCCAGTTGAATTTAGTTTTTATAACAAATGAGCTTTTATGCATTGGTATTTGCATTTATATCATCAGTGACACACTGAGAACATTTTGCTTTTGTTCTTGACAGGTGAATGGGACTCGGTTTCTACAGAGGCCTCTTTGCTCTACAATCAAGGGAAACCCAAAGCTAACACTGTGGCTTTATTTCGCTGTTAGAGCTGTTGCAGAAATGCTGGCTGCCATCCTGGTCTCATTGTTAGAAGCTGTGGCCCTCACAATGGTCCATCAGTACAAGGGAGACTATGGCAGGGAGAAGATGTTTGGTTTACTGGCTGTTGGTAAGTTATTTTACACCCTCAGGAGAAGATGAGAATATATCTGAGAGAGACACTATGGTCTTAGTTTTCAAGACCATGCTAGAGTGCCAGCTGCATGCTTAGCATTTGCACAGGGAAATAAAGATGAAAAACATCAAGCATTAAAAAGATGCTCTTTTCTGGTGAGGCCCCAAGGAGCTCCTCGAAATACGTGCTGGTTCAGCCAAGTCTTAGGGAGATGCACTATGCCTCTGAGAAACATCCTTGTCTGCTGGGAGCCTGGACCAGAATCTGGCTCCCTACAAGGTTTGGGGAGCTTTGGGTACTAGAGATTAACTCAAAACCTAGGAGGACTGGGGTTCCATTTCCACGGTAAGACAGAGACAGTTGGGCACGTTTCTTTTCATGTGAATTTTCTTTTCTTTTACTGCCTCTTCACCTAGCAGTAAATTGATAGCCAGGAGTTAGGCAATTGTTGTGGGTTGCATCCTGGAGGTCAGTGTGTCCTAGGGGGAGGGGGGGGGGTTCACCCTCAGTAAGTACAGGATTCCTGTTCCTGACAATGGGAAACTAAAACAAGCAACTGCTTGAAGAAAATGAGGTACCTTAAGGTACTAAAGCAAACAGTGTCATAGTGTAAAGACTTCTATTGATGATGTGCCTGATAGCCACCAGATGCCATCTCAAGTCACTGGGGTATTAGACAGCCCATCCACCCATTCATGAGTGGTTTAACTTGAACCCCACCACTAAACAGGGGAGACAAACATTGTGGGAATAGGGAGCTACTGAGGGCCTCACCAGAATAGACTGTTTCATTACATTCATCACTTGAGCCCTGGGAGGGCCTTATCAGTAGTTTCCTGAGCTCACTGGCAATGTCACCTAAGCATAGGTAGCCTACATTTCAGAAAAACAAAAACAAATTGGTAAACAAAAATTCTGCTAGAGCCAAAAGTCCTATAGTAAAACATAGTGTTGAATGCAATGAAATGTCTCTTTCTGGTGGGTTACACGATTGCTACAAGTGTGGCTAGCTGACATACTTAAGAATGCACTGGACACCGTTGACCCATATGTGCCAAATGAGGACCAGGACCAGAATCTGACCAGAATATGAGGCTGTTTCATATACTTCCCCATTTATTCTCCTCATTTTCTGTTAAGACACTCAGACTTTTAGGATGAAGCTTTCAAGTTCAAATTGCTATACACAAGTTTTAAATATCAGGAATTTCTTTTTCAGTTTTATTAAACAATAGAGATTTTATACAAAATTGGAAAATATCCTGAGTTACTTTACAATTTATTGATATATTTTAGTTCTGTTTTATTAGTTTTATAAAACTATAATACCAATATAGCTATAGGTTAAGTACTGATTGTAATTAAGAAGCAATAAAATTATTATCTTCAAAAACTAAGACGGTTAGGTGAGGTTGTGGTTTTCTATTCAGTTTTTCAGGTAAACTCAAATATTCACAATATATTTGACTACAATCTAATACTAAGTGAAAATAAGTACAATTCCTGACTGCTATGAATAGTACATAATTGCACTTATTTGTGCTCTTACATTTACCTCCCCATTTTTGGAGGACGGGCTGCATTGTGTTGAAATGCCGGAAGAGGCAGAGCCTTGGAAAGGTGTAAAGGTTATGCTGTAATAAATCCAATGGATGACCAACACTTTGTACAAACAGAGCTTGGGCCCAGTGAAATAACACAGAGCTTGTGAAGAGGGCACTAGGTGTGAGAATGAGTGGGGGGTAATGTCCTGAGACTACTGATGGGCAGTGCTGCCACCTGATGGGGTGCACGAGCGATAGTCTAGTGGTTTGGCCCAGGTGACGAATGTTTAAATAGTTAGGGACATTAGTGCCCAAGTTTACCATGCAGTATGCTCTACCTTTCTGGTGATTTTTTCTTTTAGGCGTTGTGGTTGACCCTAGAATTTCAGACTCTCCTGCCTATACTAAGAGTCTCGATTCTAGTTCTGGTCTCCAGTAGGCACTCGTAAATCGATGAAATCTTTTATGGTTCTTAAGTATGTCAGCTAGTCAGGTGAGTAAGCTAAGGTAGCTAGTGATGAGGAAGCTAAGGTAGCTAGTGATGAGGAAGCTAAGGTAGCTAGTGATGAGGAAGCCAAGGTAGCTAGTGATGAGGAAGCTAAGGTAGCTAGTGATGAGGAAGCTAAGGTAGCTAGTGATGAGGAAGCTAAGGTAGCTAGTGATGAGGAAGCTAAGGTAGCTATTGATGAGGACGCTAAGGTAGCTAGTGATGAGATCCTCCCAGAAAATGTATTTTCTGTCCTTTAGGATGTTGAGTGTGTGTTCACATGTGACTACACTGCAAAATAAACTTATTTAATAAAAAGTTCGACTTTTGAGTTATAAGTTTCTAATTGACAGCCTCAAATAAGACACTAATTCAACTCATTTCATTTTCTCAGGAGTATTTTCACCAATCTCTGGATATCTTGTTGACACACAATTTGGAACCTTTGGTAGCTACAGTTATGCTCCAGTTTTCTACGTGTTCAATGGTTTAATGTTGGTAACCACGGCTGTCACTATTGTTCTTCCTATTGAAGTACAAGTTCAGAGAATGAGTTTGGTAAGAATTTTAAATGTTTATTATTTATTTACACAAAATTTTATACAAAGTTTGAGTTTGTTTGGTAAAGCATTATTGTGTTTGTTGTCATATAATAATAATAATAATAATAATAATAATAATAATAATAATAATAATAATAATAATAATAATAATACACAGACTAACGTGATGTGTCAATGAGAAAGTTTATTAGGGCGCCTAGTCGAGAGGATCCCTGCCTAGTTGACTAGGGCGTGAACGTGGGAACACCCACCTCATAAGTTCGAACCCTCATCACAGCACCTACGGATTTTCTCATTAATAATAATAATAATATCTTATTTAGGAGAGAGTACATACAGTACCTATGATATATGAACAGTGGAGGATTAATAGGCGAGATAAGAACATTGCCTCAAGCCGCTAATACGTAGAGCATTTCAGGCATAACAACAAAATAAGTAGAACAAACTGTATACGAGTTCTTTAAGAGAATTAAAAAATGATAATGCATTTTTACATGATATTTGAAAACCAAGTTTTTTAACAGTACAAACATAGTAAGTAAATTTAAATTGAAGAAGAGATTAAACATTATATTAAATTGTGTAGAGAGCCCTCACTGGCTTCCTGAAGCCATCTTGCTGAGATTGCTATACTGATGGTGCTCTTCAGCCATGTTTGGACTACCCGGGTCCAGAGCCTGGTCCCCCCTCACACAGATGCAGGGAGCAGGTGACAATCCACCAGAAGAAGCCTCCAGAATGTCAGCGATGCTTTACACTAAACTAGACAGTTCACAGAATGAAGCCTCTAAATTCACACAGAACAAAGGATTCACTCAGACTAGCTCAGAACTCGTTATTACCGATTACCGCCACCAGACGGCACAGCCCAGTCCTTCCCAGTCCTTGGTTTACGCGCCACCTATGTACTGTTGCTGATACTGTACCTCCTGGTACAGCTTGTAGTGCTAATGGTCTGTCAGGTCGCAGGCAAGCCCTGCTGCTTCAAGCTAAGTGCCAGCCATCCTTGAACTTTGTTAATCTGCAGGGGGGGGGGCTATTTGTCTTCTTTATTAATCCTTTATTTAGTATAGGCTTCATGCCCATGTTTTGGTTCCAGCTTGTGTGGGTTTGGCCCTTTTGGCATTTTGGGATTCATGCATTCAGGGTTTACCTGTGTGCCCACTAATGCTGTCCTTACACACAGTTTCCTTCTCTGGTGCATTTTGGAGTTCATCCTTGAGAGGTCTGACCACCAGAGTGGGGAGCCTCACCTTTGGTTATTCAAGGATCCTTGATTCATCTGTTTGCACCCTTGGCTAAGGGTGGTCTTTGACTGTGTTGAGGCACACTGGGGTTTGTCTGCTTGTTTATACTGTACAGCACACTGGTTGCCATTCGTAGCCTGGTAATTTGGGCCGTGATTGGTGACTATTTTAGTGGCAAGCGGCCCCAGTGCCTAGGTTGTCTGCTTGATTTCATCCTTCAGATCCTGGGAATCACCTGTGGGTCTATAGCATGGTCTGTATGGCTTGGCCTGTCAAGTCTGCTCTTGCTGAATGCAAGTTTGAGGGGTGTTAATCATCCTTACTACAGGATGATGATCATTCTTTGTGTTCCCTGCCATGCTGTCTGTTGGGCCTTTGATACCTACTATCCCAAGTCCTGTGAGGTTTGCTCTCACTGGGTCATTGACATATTCCACCTCCCGGTTGGAGGCATTTCAGGCAGCTGCCGAGTTTGTGAGCTAGGTTTGCTCATGTTAAGCGCTTGCGGCATTTTTATTGATTGGGTGCCCTGGAGTTGGCTTATATGATGTTTAGGAACCTAGATTTAGAGGTGTTGGTGACCTCCACCTGGACTAAGTACACATCTCCTCTTTCTTTTCCCATGGATGTGGTTTTCCCTGCTTCTGGTCTCTTTTCCCCTGGTTCCGATTCTGAAGTGTCCGAGGGTGTCGGATTCGGGTTAAGGTTTAGCTCGGGGTGTAGCTCAGCCTTCTCTAAGGGTGGTCCCATCCACGTTAATGGCAGAGGAAATTGAGCCTTCCAGTCCTGCCCGGATTTTGGGGCACTCGTCTTCACAACCACCCTCTTGCCACGAGGCTTCTTCTTGGGAGGACACCTTCCTGTCTCGGGTGTTGGGTGAGCACTTTGGCTCTGCATCAAGCTTCAAGAACAGCTGGTTGATCAGATCAGCAATCAGGAGGCCTGGTCAGAGATTGGGCTGCGGGGACATTGATCCTCTATAGCATCAACAGGTAGGTGCCCCAGAGTCATCGTGGCACGCTCCCGGGGTTGAGGGGAGCTCAAGGAGTGTCCTTGGATGCCTTTCAGCCCCCATGGCTTTTGGTTCTTTCTGTGGAGGATTTGTTGATGTAGGGATCTTTTTTTTTTCTCTCTCGATTTTATGTAAGAGTTGGATTGCTTGGGTGCAATCCAATTCATAGCCCCAAAGGGCTGTCAATGTTTCTATCATTTTTTCAGTATCTTACCTTTCTCACCTTTTTCTGGGGGCAGCCCCGTTGGCTCCTCTGGAGCAGGCTGATATTGCTAATATTAGACTTTAGCATCAGTCGGTGTGAAAGGAGTTCATAGGCCTACCGGGGACCACAAGCCAGAACCTGGCCCCCCTCAGAGAGGCACGAGGAGCAATGGCTTATAGAAACCCTCATGTGGTTGGAAGCATTCTATGTCTGCCATCGACTGGGTCAGGCATCCAGAAAGATAAGCATCTCAAAACAAACCCCTATTCTGGTTGAGAAATTGTGACTAAAAGCCGAACTAGTGGACAGAACTCCTCAAACCAAAAATGAGCAAACGAGCATGACGTCACTGCGTCGCCGTCTCAGCAGCTCTCCCCTCCCCGGGAGGGAAAAGGGAGCCCCAGACCCCCTGCACCGGATATCCAAAACCCCAGGTCTGAGGCTGACACGCTAGGCTGAAGTCACGTGCTCTGGCTCCGGTTTTTGTCTTCAGCTCTGTGCCCTTGTGTGGTGGCTGTCTCCTAGGGTGTGCACGAGCCAGGAGTAATTCTTCAGTACTTGAGCTGCATGCGCCTAGGGTTACCTTCCCTAGGTGCCCTGTAAGTACAGTACTGCCCTTGGGGCTTGGGGCCCCCTTCCCAAGTTTCTTGCGTTCTGCCTCTGTTCGGTCATTTGCTGCTCGGCTTTTGGCCGCCCTTTGTGTACTGGGGTGTTCTGGCTCCCTTGTTCGCCTTAGGATAAGAGGCAGTTTTGCACTGGTAGGGGCGCAGGGTACTGCACAGCTAGTTTTATTTTTGTTTTCCAAGGGGTCCCTGGGGTTTGTTGCTGCCTGTTTGGTTGGCCGGGGGTGGTGCTTCTTGTGTCGGGATGTAGCTCTCGGTTTTTGCCTGCATGCCGCGACCTCTGTGGCCCTAGACGCGCTTTGGGCTGAGCCGAGTTTACTTCGTTCCCGTTTCAGGGTTCGGGTCTCCCGGGTCGTTTGGTGTTGCCATTTGTCTTGCTTTTACGTTCGGGCGTGTGGTTTCTGCCTCCAGGGTCTCTGTTCACCCAGCAGTAAATAGGTAGAGTACTTAGGAGTTAGGAAGCTGTTGTGGGTTGAATCCTGGGGAATGTCAGTAATTTGACCTATCTTGGCCCCAATAGTCCTGTCCCCAACAGCTGGAGTTATTTCCCTTATTTTTTGTACGAGAATAGATGTTAGTAACACCCTGTATGTGAACTTTTCAAGTATGTTTTGGTCATTAATATTATTTTGATGTACTTGTTGCAGCTGAAAAACATGAGAGAGCTGATCAACACCACAGAGCTCAGCATCCTCCTGGTCCTGATGACCATGCTTGGCACATTCTGGGGATACCTTAAAACATTTGTTTATGTCTACTTGGAAGATCTGAGCGCATCGAAATTGCTCTTGGGCCTTACGCTTTCCTTTGGAATTGTGCCGTCACTGCCGTTCTTATACAAGAGTGCTGCTGTAGTGCAGTACTGTGGCCACCACTACCTCATCATGCTGGCCTTTCTTGGATACTGCATCAGATTTGCTGGTAAGTGACAGACCTTATTAAGTATGCATTTAGACTATACTTTATATGTATTTATACAAGTGTTCTCATTCTTTGTCAGATTCATAAGATGCCTTTTGAAAAGTAGAGTACATTACATTTCAGAACTGTGCATTACAATATATTTCATTATAGTACTTTACATTTCAGCACAGTCAATTTAAGTAACATATAGGACATTTTAGTACAGAACATTACAGTATATTCTGTTTTGGTGCTTACCTATCAGTACATACCTATCACTGACTACGGGGAAATGAGATCAAGCTCTTTATGCCCTGCTTCCTAACAGTTTATACCTGATGTTGTAATTACCTCTTTCAATATTAATGTTTTCACCATATTTATTTCTTAAAGTTGTGGATGGAATTGGCTTCAACAATGTCTTCAATGCACTCCACTTGCCAACCACGTGTACAGGGAATTAGTACTTCTTACATCTCTGACTCGGTTGCCTGTCCAGCTTCCACTAATGTACCCATTGTCCTATCTCTAATTTAAATAGGGTTCATTTGGCTACTCTACTTTACTACTCTACTCTACTTTTCCTTTGACTACTCTACTACTACCTTTCCCATCTTCTTTACATTACACTTAACTGCTGGAATTCAATCCAGATATTTATCAACCCAGTTTTGAAGTTTGTCAAGGTCTTCTTACAGCACCCTACGGTCCTCTTTGGTTCTTACTCTCATTAACTTTGCATCATCTGCAGACATTGACATGTATGAGCTCACTTCTTCAACAATGTCATTCATATAAATTAAGAAAAGTAATGGTTCAAGGACAGAGCCTTGTGGAAAACCACTTTCTGCTCTTCTCCAGCCTAACATCCTCATCAGCCTGAAGACTCCAAAATAGCCTACTGGAAACCAGAACAAGAACCAGAACCTAAGTTCCTTAGAGGCACAAGTAGTAAAGTGTTTTTACGATCACCTTCTCTTAGAAAACTTTGAAAGTAAGCAAAACAATACAGACAACTGTAAGATTCACCAAGAGAAAAGAATTGAAGCGCCAAGCTACTCGGCAAATGATTTACTTAATAACTGGATGGAATCCCCCTAGTTACAGCTGACTGCCAACATCTGACACCACTACTGGGAGCTCCCAATTTCATCATCAGAACCTTAATCCTGTTGCTGGTGACCTTGAATGTGAGCCTCCACAAGTTCCTGGCTTTAGCACATCCTGACTTTTCTGAGATAAGTGCAGGCCATCCTTTGGGGCTGTTTGTTTGCGTGTCGTTCCCGATTTTAGTATTTGCTTCTCGAGCATGTTTCAGATGTCATTTATTGCCTAAAGTTGCATGTGTTTAGGGTTACCCTTCTCTAGGCGTCTGTTTTGACATTACTCCTGCTCTAACAGTGTGACTTCTATGGGGAGCTTGGGAGTTCACCTCTTGAGAGGCTGTAATACTGCGTAGGCTGCCTTGCCCTGTGCAAGTGTGTCTGACTCCTTTGTGAGGCCCTGTGGTTAGGGGGGCATTCAGGGTGTTTGCTATGGGGGTGCACTAAGGTTTGTGTGCTTGTCTATATGGCACACCACTGATGCCCTTCTCAGCCACATTTATACTCGAGTCTGTGTTTGGTGTTGGTTCTTTTGGGGAGTGTCTTTAATGCCTGGGCGTCTTACTTGGGGTATTTCTTCAGGCCCTTGTAAACTTTATGGGTCCTCGGCACAGCTCACTATGGATCTACATACCGATGATCATTCTTTCTTCATCTTCATGCTGCCTGTTGGGTTGGTGAAACTTTTGACTGAGGCCTGCAATGTTTGCATTCGCAGGGTCTCTTATTTTATATGAAACTGCCTCAAGACAGGAGGCTTATCAGGCAGTACCTAATTTGCGAGCTTGTTTGTCTCACATTTGTAGTTTGTGGCTTGGTGCTCGAGTGGATTTACTGGAGTTAGCCCCTATTATGTTTAGGGATTCAGAGTTGAGGGGCCCCCTGATAGGCTCTTCAGGACTCTCACATCTGAAATGACTCATCTGTGAGGAGCTACTTCAGCGAGCTAGCTTCCATGAGCCACCTTCCAGAAAGAGTTGTTTCATTACATTCAGTACTGGATTTTTTTCAAACTGATGTTTTGCAATAAATTATTTAAAAATAATATTCATTGATTTACTTTGTATAATTACCATAACTTAGCTACAATACTGAAGTGCTTACCCTTTAGTTTTCTTCAGGGTAAGAATTAAATTACCATTTTTAAACAAAGCATTGATCTTTTCTTTTTAATATCAATCATGTGCTTCTGTAAGCAATCACAATATCGATCATGTAGTTCAGTAAGCATGCATAATATTAATTATGCACAAAATAAACTCCTAAATATATATTTTCTTTTTCAGGGTTATCATACATCACCAACCCGTGGTGGGCGTTACTGCTCGAGACACTGGAACTGTTCACACTCAACTTGATGAATGTCTCGGCCGCAACTTTAGCATACAAGCTTGCTCCTAAGACCTTCGTGGCGACAGCCCAAGCTTTAGTTTGGGTTTCACATTTTAATATAGGTTAGTTTCAAATTATAAATATATGGTTATCATAATTTCAGCAACATTTTTCTCTGTATACAAGACAAGGAGGACTATATAAATTCTCTTCCCTTGGTATATGGTCCAGTCAGCCATTGTCTTGACAGTACAGTGCTAACATTTATATAATGATGATAATAATAATGATGATAATAATAATAATGATAATAATAATAATAATAATAATAATAATAATAATTCTAATAATATTAGTGAAAAGATCAATTGGAAGACTGGAGGGGCTGTGAAACCCAGACTCGGGAGATCCTAAGCTGCACACACACCTTACTTTTCTAGATTAATCTCCTCATTGATATATCACATTAGTGGGATTTCTTTGTGTAAGTAATAACAATTATAATGTTTATACAAAACATAGAGAAGAAGGATAAGATAGTGGTAGCATATTTAATAAAGCCACACGTACAGTGTGCACATAGTCTCAGGCATTTCATCTCTCCTCCCTGTTTTATGCTTTCCATATTGCCAAAATTGTGAGTTCATGGGCAATGGCATTTTATGCCTATTATTATAGCAGACAGTGAAGGTCACTGCCAAAGAGGGGTATACTATAGTGCTGGTCACTGTAAGGGGGGTACACTGCTGGTCACAGTAATTGGGATATAGTTGAGTCACTGTAAGGAGCACAATGTTGGTCACTGAAAGAGGGTACAATGCTGGTTACTGTAACGGGGCTAGATTACAGGTCACTAAAAGGGAAGTTACAATAGTGGTCATTACTGGGAGGGGGGTTACAGTGGTTACTACAAGGGAGGATGTACAGTGGTGGTCACTACAAGGGGGGGTATAGTGGTGGTCACTACAACAGTGAGGTTACAATGGTCACTACAGTGGTAGACACTATCCATGGGGAGTTAAAGGTACTGTACATTAAAAAATTTCAAGAGCACACATCCTGGAAAAATATATAACAATTAAATGATTTAAAGATTTATAGACACAATTCTGATTGTTGAACTTTTCCTCTTCCTTTTCATCAGGTCGATGCATTGGTACATTTGTTGGTGGGCAACTTATGAGCCAGTATGGGGAGGTGCTGGTGTTTCAGGGAGCGGCCATTCTGTCGGCAACGTGCGCAGCCGTTTACCTCAGCATTCATCAGCTTATTAAATACTTAAAAGCAAGACAAAATGTTCAGCCAAAACCACAGCCAAGCAGAGAAAATGGTTTGTTCATATTTTGAATATGTTATCATACTTCATTCTTGTTTAATTGACTAAAGGTAAGGTAATTATTAGGAAAAAGCAGTCATTTTAACTATGCAGTGTAGCACTTGGAACAGATATGAGGATATGGATTTGGGATAAGATGGAGGAAAGTAATGGTGTCCAACCACTTGGAGAGTTGGAGAATGAATGTGTACCTGTGAGAAGCAAAGATGTCATTTTACCATCCAGTTCAAGTTGTTGAATAAATAATAAAGTATGTATTTGTTTGAAACTCAAGTAATATATTGCATTCCCTCAGTAATTGTTGTTTATCCACTTGTTGGGTAAACAACAAAATGTTCCAGTATTAGGGACCCACTGATGATACTTGTATAATGTTCTTACCAAACCCCCTAGATGATTTCCAGAGCTTGTCACTTAATAATTTAATAATTCATTGTGTCGGGAACAGACAGCCAGAGTGCATTTATACGCGTTGGGCTTATATTGCGATTCCCCCAAGGTTGAATTACTGATCTTACACCCCCCCCCCCCATTACCCAGGATGTAACCCCACAACAAGTTAACTCCTGAGTCCCTACTGTACTTACTGCTGGGTGAACATTAGGCAATAAGAAATGCACCCAACTATTTCTGTCCCGCCTGGGATTCATTCTCTGAATTCTCAATTGTGAGTCGAGAACGAACCCGACTGTACTACTGGGACGATGGTAATCCGTTCCCAGAGACGTATCGTAAGTCGAAACGATTTTTCCTATAAGAAATACTGTAAAGGGAATTGAATTAATCCATTCCACACCCTCAAAAATATTAACTTAAAAATACATTTTATATTGAATACAATTTTTTTCTCTAACTACAATACAGTACATATGTTTATCTTACCTTTATGGAGGACTCTTGATGACGTATGGAAGATGGTGAGGAGGGGGGAGGAGGAGAGGTGTTACTGTTTGGAAGGGGAGTCCCCTTCCATTATAACATCAGGCAGTGAGGACTTCTCTTCACACTCTGGCACATTTTGCCTGCATACCACTAGGACCTGCTTCTGGCTCACTGCTTGATTTTCTCACTAGAAATCATTCCATTGAAGATTGCTATTCCCTTCTTTCCATCACTTGTCTGTAGTGAGCATCACATTGTCATCAAAAAGATTAATGCAACGGCCTGTTACAGCTTTATCTGGGCGATTCTTTTCAGCAAAACTTTGCAGTTCTTCTCATACTGCACACATTTTCTTAATTAATTAATGAGAGACATCCTCTAATGCCGCCGCCTTCGCTGCCTCCTCCTCCTCCGAAGATTTGTTGTACTGCCTAGCTAGTTCAACGACACGAGTACCATTTTCATGTTTACGTATGATCTGTTTTTCCTCTATGGTCATTCATGCATGTGTTTTCATATGTTGAACCTTACCACTGACTTTCTTGGGACCCATGGCAAGATATATAATACAGTAATCAGTTTTATGTTCAAAAAGCAAAAAAATCACCACAAAAATGGAATTTCTTATAAGCCTATCAAAGGGTCTTTAGGGTCAAACCAACCCTGAACCCAGCAGTACGAATGCAGCAAATAGTAATGATGGCCCTTGGAGTAAAATATATAAATTATAATATAAACCCAATCTGACATTTTTTATATACTGTGCAAGTGTTCATTAATACTGTTGTGCCAAATGTTATAATAGAGCCAAAATTTACAACCTAGTTTAGGTAAAAAAAAAAAAAAAAAAACTGTGACCCACATTAAGAGACATGGGTATGAAAGCAGACTGTCAGTTTGTAAACAGAAGTCTAAGTGTAGCACTGTTGGATCTACTGGGCTAGAAAGGGTCAGTAATTCCAGTGAACCCTCCTCTCCATAAACTACCTCAAAGCCGAGCCTGTAGAGTGCAGTCTCACTATCCCTAACCCTCAACAGAAGAGAGGCCAGATGACTGGTTCGGTGCACTTGCAGCAAGACATCTCTGAATAATCATAAGAGCTGGTCACCAACTGGCCACCATTATTCAAAATAAATTTACAACAGGTTGAAAAAATACACAAGGGATACTCAAAGATCAATAAATATCACATTGTTATACTGATCATAGTTTACTCACTAAATTGCTCTTAAAGGATACCAAGATCCAACCTTAAGTAGAAAAGTAATCCTTTTGTATTAATAACTGATCTCCCATTTACCAGTGACATGTACACCATCAAGAAGCGTGTGTGTGGCACTGGGGATGGGCATTACGCCACCACCTTCTGGTGGTTGGCAGTGATAAACAGTTGTGGTGATCGATTATTAAACATAGCCTGCCATTAGTAGTCACACAGGTAACATCATTAGGGAATTCTGTAAGGCTTTAATGTGTGAGTTAACCTGATTGTCATTCTTTACTGGGTTGATATTTTCTGTAGTGGCTCCCTAGCATCTTATATGATCGTGCAGGGATGTTCGAATACAGTCCAGTGGCACTGGTGCCATATGACAGTTCTGCCTGACCGTGCACGATCCTTAACATGACACAAACATATATCTAAGAGAATAGAAGTGAAGATGTTTGGAAAGAGCATTTTGGTTCATTTCTAGATTTGTTATAAAGTAAATTTAGAAGTGAATAAAAATGTATCATCAAAAATTCTATTAGACATAGGGTATGTAGTACATATTTGTAATACATTTGAAAACTTCCATTCCTATTAAAGAAATACCATTCACAAAGTGTTAAAACAAGTTGCTGTCAATGTTTCAGTAAGGCTACAACAGAAATTACTAATTTATTATCTTGTCACATCCTAACCATGTTAATAGACATTTTATTTTACAGGAAATGTTCCAAATGGCCATTATACCCCACTTCAGGTTGCCGATGAAAAGTTTTGATCGGAGCTTCACCCTAGATCTCCTCGAGTTACCATGTTCAAACAAGAGGAAGTTCGGTGATACTGAACACTATATGGCACTGTGATAATCCAGTTTGATCCGAGTGTATCTTAGAATCCTGAGTGGCAGGATAGTCATGTAAATAAGATCTACATACGATTATAATTAGTGATAATAGCACGTACAATATGCTGGAGACACTTTCCAGGTAATAAACGAATATGCAACTTTTCATTTCCTTAGAATGGCATGTTCACTAAGTAAGCGTGGCATGTTCATTGAGTAATGTGACTTACAAATCTTGATCAATGGCATCTTAACCCTTAAACGGCTCAGCATAATAAAAGTCCTACATCGTGGTGTGCATGGAAACAAATACTGTAGTTCACAAACATTGGTACATAAAACTGCAGGCGACAATTCGAGCAAAGGAGGTAATCACAGATAGCGACAGGAGCCATTTAAGGGTTACAAGAAGATGGCTCATCTTCAGATTAGTTTCCAATAAAAAAAAAAAGGAAAAAATAATTGAAAATCAAGAAAATGAACACAGGATATGAGTATTATGGTGCTAAAAATGCAGTGATTTATAACCAGACATAATATTGCTAAGTCAGTAGTGTACAAGGAAAGTGGCCATGTTTATTTATGGTCATTTTGGCTGTTATTTTAATGATACCGTTATTGTACAATTACAACAGTTATATCTGACACAGCCAATATATGGCAGGAATTTCTCTTTCACCTTCTTTTGATTATACATATACTATAATACTTATACTCTGTATATGGATAAATTTGTGTGTATATTTTATATATATATATATATATATATATATATATATATATATATATATATATATATATATATATATATATATATATATATATATATATATATATATATATATATATACTGTATATATATATATAATTTTCTTTTCTTTCTTGGGGTTGCCCCTTTGGCTCCCAGGAGCTATCCGGGCTGATATGAATGTATTAGACCCTGGCATCAGTCAAGCGATTGGAGTTCTAGGCCTACCGGGGACCACGAGCCAGAACCTGACCCCCACCATTCCCTCAGAGAGGCACAAGGAGCAATAGCCTATAGAAACCCCTTTGTGGTTGGAAACATTCAACGTCTGCCATCGACTGGGTCAAGCACCCAGAAAGGTAGGCACCCCAAAATATTAATTTAATATATTGAATGGGTTTCCAGCCTAGTTGGCTGGTTAAAACATTGCTACCAGAAGCCGAACTGTTGGACAGAACTCTCCCAAACGAAAAATGAGCAAACGAGCATGACGTCACAACCGTCATCGTGCCGCTGTCTGTGCAGCGCCCTCCTCCCCCTCCCGGGAAGGGGGGAGCTTACCTCCTCACCCTTGGAGTCAACTGGGGTGTTTCATGCGCCCCCGTTTGCCTCTGGGTAGGAGGCAGTTTCATCACTGGCAGGGGCATGAGGTACTGTGCAGCTTGTTTTCACCTTATAACAGCGGCCGGCTCTGTTCCACCTGGGACGTTGTACTCGCGCGGAGTTTTTCTTTTCTTTGTTTTCTGCCTGGTGGAGGCTCTGCCCTTGGTGTATTGACCCCTCTCTTATTGTGTTCTTGGTGGTCCTCTGCTAGGTCCCCGTGTGTGTACACGTCACAGGGGTTCAGTTGTAGCAGTTTGCTTGGTAGTTTTGGGCACCGGTTAGCAGTAACTTGCCTGGGCTTGTCTGGGCTTGCCTTAGTAACTTAGCAGAACGTCTAAGGGCACTGGAAAACCCTGCTGGAGCTCAGTGGTCCAATGGATCCGTCCCCTGAGTCCCATCTCGCTTCATGCGAATTTGAAGGTTGCTCTGTCCCCTTGTCTCAGGGTGACAATCACCTGTTCTGCCTCCGTCATGTTGCCTGTTGGGTCGATGACACTTTCGACCCGGAGTCTTGCGAGTGGTGTTCCTTGCATGTACTCCGCTTCACCCAGTCCACTGATCATGATATAAGGGTGCAAGCAGCTTTAGCATTGCATGCATGTTATAGGGTGCTGCATCGCACTTGGTTGGTTACCCACCCGGATCCCCCGAGGCTGCCCCGTTTTAGTTATAGGGGACCCGGACTTGGGTGTGTTTTGTTGCCTTGTCTTTGGTTCCATCTGCGCCCCCTTGTTCTTTCCTGCTGGCGTTCATCCTGTCGTGCCCCCCCCCCCTCCCCCCAGCAAACCTCTTACGGCTGCAAAGTGTCTGAGGGTTTCGGAGTCGGGGCAGGGTTTAGCTGGTGGTGAGACTCGGGCGGTTTTGGGGATGCCCAATCTGGTGTGGCGACAGGCATTTGAGCCAGTTATTTCAGCCGGTGCTTCTGGGTCTGACAAGTGGGCCCCCTTCCTTCCAGCTTTTCCGGCGACTTCTGCCTTTTCTTTTGAGGCGGAGGGTTTGGAGGACGGCTCGACCCCGGGTCCTGATGTGGTGGTTCCTATGGCGGGGAAAGGGCCGACTTGGGGGGACTTGGGGGGCCTTGGGCCTCGTTTGGCCTCGCTTTGGTTTTGATACCTCTGAGTGGGGCGTATTGTTGCTGGGAGTGGGATTTTCTTACCCCCTATTCCATGTACGAATTTGATATGGAGTCAACCCCTTCCCGGGTTCTGTTCGAGGTTCCCTTCCGGAGGTTTTTGGCCTCCTGCATCCTGCCTCATGTGGTGCGGGGGGTCGGGGGGGGGGGGCATTGCGGCTTACCTCCTGCGAAACCCGAAGTACGCCTCGATAATGGATACTGCCTCTTTTGAGTTCTGATCTTCCAAACCTCGAATTCTTTCGAGTTCGAGGTTCCAGAGTTGTCCTTCTTGGCAGACAGTCCTATCTTTTTGTAGGGTGTGTGGCATACGTTCTGTCAGTCCCGCATGCTCGAGTGGCAAGAGGCCCTTACTGTGGTACAGGTTTACCTGAGGGGGCGAGTTTGAATGCCTCAATGCGTATTTGTTTCCCCCTGCCCTTCTGCAGGATGTGGTGGATGTGTGAATTCTTTCCTGAATTCTTTGGGTAATTAGCTCCGGGGAGCTGAAGAGGCTCCCCCCCAGAAAACCAGCGTTGAATGTAATTAAACGTCATTTTCTGGGTGAGACCCGGAGGCTTCCCGGCAACCCACCCTCCAGTCGGCAGTTTTTCACAGGTTTTTGACATCCAGCCTCAGAACTGACGGTGTGGATAGCCAGCACGGGGGTCTGGGGTTCCCCCTTCCCCCTCCCAGGAGGGGGGGAGCTGTGCAGACAGCAGCACAGTGACTGTTGTGGTATCATGCTCGTATGCTCATTTTTCATTTGGGGGAATTCTGTCTTAACAGTACGGCTTTCAGTAGCAATATTTTAACCAGATAGGGTTTGTTTTGGGGCACCTACCTTTCTGGGTGCCTGACCAGGTTGATGGCAGACATAGCATGCTTCCAACCACATGGTTTTTTTTTTATAGACCATTGCTCCTTGTGTCTCCGAGGGGACCAGGGGCCAAATTCACGAAAGCACTTACGAACCTGTACATCTTTTCTCAATCTTTGGTGGCTTTGTTTTCAATTATTAAACAATTAATGAGCTCCAAAGCACCAGGAGGCTGTTTATAACAATAACAACAGTTGAATAGGAAGTTTTCATGCTTGTAAACTGTTTCATAAATGTAACCAAAGCCGTCAAAGATTGAGGAAAGAAGTACACGTTCGAAAGTGCTTTTGTGAATCTGGCCCCAGGTTCTGTCTCGTGGTCCCCTATAAGCCTAGAACTCCATTCGCTTGGCTAATGCCAGGGTCTAATACATGTACATTCATCTCGGCCCAGATAGCTCCGGGAAGCCTCCGAGTCTCACCCAGAAAATGGCGTTTCATTACATTCAACGCTGTTTTTTTCTCCCAATTATCAATCACTGTATAGGGAAGGGGGGGATACCACCTCTGGTTGTTTGTAGAGACCCTCAAGCCTCGAGGAAGAGGATATGCAGCACCCTGAGGAGCCTTATCAATCGTCCCTGTGCGCTGGTACATATTATCTTCTACCACTCGCTTATAAATGTAAGTTTCTTTTTTAACTTTATTACAAAAAAGGAGTTATACATAAGGTACCAAGATGGTTATCATAAGTTATCGAGTTCCTCCAGCTCCTCAGATGGCGGGCAGGAACCCTGAATGCAGTGTGCATTTCTCTTCTGTATCGTCATGCTGAGACGTTGGAAAAGGAAACTGGAAGCTCTAGGGTCTCTTGTTTCAATTAGCCTAAAACCCAGTTCCTTCAAAAAACTGGTGGCACTCTTGCCCCAGGCACCAAGTGTTTCAGAAGCAATGGGAACAAAATTGTAGTGGTGATCCAGTCTACTTATGGGACTTGGCTGATTCCCTGTGAGTGGCAGCATCACCCGGATGTGCAACACTAAAGTCAATGTAGGTGTTAGCCAGGGTTCATACACACATGTAGTCCTATACCAATTGCTTACCATTCTTCCAGGGATTGACTGACCAATAAGAGCAGAGTTATGGGGCATTAAGTAATGGCTATGGCATTCTCTCTCTCTCTCTCTCTCAGCTGGGCATCCAGCTGTGTTGAGGCTCCTCTTAATGATGTCGATAACTTTACTGCGCCTCGAGTGCCATCCCCCGTGTTTTTGGCAGAATAGGCCATGGTAGCCATACCTGCCAGCCACCATCTCGCCGTAAATACACCTATATTTGGTGTCGATTGGGTCAGCAAGGCAGAGAACCATAGCAATTAGGATGGCGTGTGGTGCGAGACGTATGCCAGTTGCCGACATTTGGGGTTACTAACAGGAAGTCCCCCTGCATGTGGGGCTGCTACTGCTGTGAGGCAATCAATGTCGCGTTGTTGCAGCACCCAGGCACTCTGCACCAGCTCTGTCTACAATGGGGGGCCATCCCAACTGGATTACTTGTGGGATTTTGGTGGTGGTGAAGCGATTGGCCTGCACGAGAGGCCCACACAGTAGCACAGTGTATAAAACTGGGATTATGTATGCCTGCCAGCTTACCTAAGTTGGTAGGTAGAATTTCCTTCGCAAGATTGTTGGATGCTGAGGAGGAGGACAGGAAGGCTGGTACAGTGATTTGCGTTGCTGTTTGAACTCCGAGGGCCCCCAAAGTCTTATGGGTAGAGAGGCTTGTTTCCACTGTAGGTCATCGACAGAGAGGTTGAGGGCTTTTTCTAACATTGATTTCAGTAAGAGGTCATATTCGCCTAATTTTTGGCTACTGTAGGATGGTGAACACCTCAGAAAGTAGGTTAACCTGGGAAGGGACAGGCATTTGGTGATGAAGTAAAGTGTGTCATGAGCATCAATATCTTCACTCCTCTCATCCATCCTCTTGAGGTCGGTGATTTTCTTATCAAGAACCTCATTGATGGCTTTCAACCCCACGAGGGGGGGGGGGCTCCTAGGAGTGTGCTGTCTTCAGGTACAGTTATTTGGATATTCGGCAGAATATCTTCTATTCTCTCTATGATGCTCTGATTGGAACATATTATTATTATTATTAATATTAGAAGAGTTCAGGGTGAGGCCTAAAATTGCACCTTACTCCTGGATTGTCCTGATGTCCTTCAGGAGGAAGTCCTGGGAAGCAGCTAGGGTACCATTATCCAAGAACCAGATGTTAAGCTCACTGGACAGGATTGCTATGACTTGTTCATG